ACATAAATTATTTACTAAAAAAAACTTGAATGTGCTAAAATTCAAAAGAGCAAAGCGTTAGTATTAAACAGTGAAAAGAATTATTTAAAAAATAATTTAAATCGACATTAATCATTGCTAATATAATATTTGAGCAGTAATTTATTCTTTAATTGCGTTGCATTAGATGGATACGTGAAATTTTTAGCCAACTTAATCAATGATGTAACGGTATTTGTATTTGTCCAATGGGACTGAATTTTTAATACTGTCATCCTCCTATATGGGATCTTTGCTAACAAAATGACCTTCCGAGGCTATGTTGATTTTGTGAATTAAAATCAAATTTGCTAGCCATCTAGCAATCCAATTTGAATGAAATTTTTTTATTTTGTAAATCTCAATAGAATCTACAAATTAAAAAAAAGTTCATTCAAATTGAATAACTAATGGCTGGCAAATTTAATTTTTATTCACAAAATCAACATAGCCTCGGAGGGTCATTTTGTTAGCAAAGATCCCATATAATCACGCAGTCCGTATCATGCAAATTGTGTGATTGTATAAAGGTTTTTACTATGATGTGCTTATAAAGAAGTATTTTTTTATAAGTTTATTACTAAAGCGTTGCAGGCCTTGGCGTGATTATAAAAAGGGGTTTACTATGATTTGATTGTACGGGAGGTGACTATATAGGAGGAAGACAGTAAAATTATTCCGTTCTAAACTAAGTGGATTCCATTCCCACTTACAATTATAGTTGCCGTCCAAATAGTTATAACTAGTGATATGGGCTGACCCCGGCCCATCGGCCGGGCGGGCGGGTCGAAGGTCGACCCGTACTTCTGTGGGCCAGCCCGGCCGATGTATAGCTTGATTTTCTTGACCAATAAAAATGCATGGAAGAATAAGATAAAAAACGATGCAAATACTTTTTTTATTTCCTAATTCTGGTTTTTCTGGATTGATTTTTGATTATAGAGTCTTTTTAGTTAATATGCAGAATTACTTGACTTGACATACATGTAATAATTATATTTCGACATTTTTTATTAGACGATAATTTATTAAATAAGTATTTTATAATTCTATTTCGATGGTTTATTTTTATTGAACGATGTTTTTTTATAAATATATTTTTTTAATATAATATAATTTAAAATATAATTCGGCCTAATTTATTTATTTTTAAATTATTTGATGCTTAATTATTATTTATTTTTATTCAACGATAAATTTTAATCGTGTATATGTCGTATCTAAAGTTGATCTGACTAAAATTAAGCCCTGAAATTAGATCTTCATACATATAATTCTGGTTAGGTGCAACTTTATATATCTAAAGTTGCAAATTCAGATAGATAATAACTTTAGATACGAATATAGAATGTTCTCAAGTACCTCTTAGATGCGATTTTCTAGTGATCGATAAGTATCGTGACGTAATTCTAGCCATTTTCGCATTGAAAAAGAGATCAAATTATGCGATTATAGGCCAAAATTTTTTAAAAAAAATATAGTCGGCCCGGTCGACCGGGTCGAGTAATTTTGACAGGCGGGTCGGCCCGAGAGTTTGGCATCGGCCCATATCACTAAAAGCGATGCATAAAGAATATGTAATTAATTTAAGAGTTAGATAAATTATGTCGGATTAGATATGTAATTAGGGGTTAAATTAAATGTCGGAATGAAAATTATGATGTAATTAATTTAAGAGTCAAAAGGAAAAAATATGTATATAAAAGGACCGAAAGAAATAAAGAAAGTTCAGTTATTCTCTCTTCTAATTTTAAGAAAAATAGATACTACAAAAGTCGCTTACTTTCGTTCTTAGTACAATAAATAAAATAAATATTAAATTATTCACGCATATTTAAGAAAAAATAAAACATTAAACAAACAAATAAAAGGATACTGCCTCTCAAACAGCCATTGAACGATGTATTAAGTGAAGGTAATAACTTTACCGGCGATTTGAAGATCTCCAATAGAGGTCGGAAAGCACCATTACACCTATAAATCCACTTATACTTTTCTCTTGTCTAAGCAAAATCCTAAAATGTATTCCAAAATATTTGTATTTTCAAATTAAATATGTATTAATCTGATTATTGTGAGATAATTGCATCTCATTAGCAATATATGCAATAAAGTTCCAACTTTTAAATATAGCTTAGCCCTTCAGCACTGCTTCGTCTTTTTGTCAGAGTTTCGTTTGATCAAGAACTTTATCTTCAATAAGGAGTTTTACCAATGATTAGTCCATCATTCCATCTTTTAAAATATATCCGTAAGATAATACAAATATAGAATTTACATATGGGTGCTCTCAAGCAAAAGTTAATAAGATGGTTGTATTTGATATAGCCCTATTGCTTCTTATTCTAATTGTCTATAACAAATAACCTAAAAATTGAACCTATTATCTCTTATCATTTAGTGTTATCCCACTTAATTGATTCGGGAGAGAATTATTTTTCATGTATAAATAATTTTGATAACAGTCCATGTTAAATAGGATTCAGGAGAGAATTATTATTATTTATGTATGAATAATTTTGATAACAGTTCAAGTTAAATAGATTTCTAGGTTACCCAATGGATTAATATAGTAAAAGATCAAATTATTATCGTAATATTGAATCGATACCCCTGAAATTAGTATTACTGGGGTAGGTTCTACGAATATAGCATTTTTAAGAAACATAAAGAACAACGGCAATACATCTAAGGAACATTAACATTTTAAGGAACATTACATTTAAGAAACATTACATTTAAGGAACATTAACATTTTAAGGAACATCACATTTAAGAAACGTCACATTTAAGGAACATTAACATTACATTTAAGGAACATTAACATTTTAAAGAATATTACCAGTACATTTTGCATTATAAAGTCGTACTCAAGTACAAAAAACTTTAGCTATAAAATCCCAAATCTTTTTTTTTACAGGCAATAATTACTTATGGTTTCGCTAATAAGTATATATCCACATATCCACATTACATTTCAAGTCTCTTTCTGATCCAGTATGCTACGGGAGCTTAGTGAAGATTTAAGATGGAGAGTCGTTTATTTGAATTCAAAGGGGCATAATAATGAAGATATTGCTATGCTTCTTTTTATAAGTGAATCTTCTGTACGTAGAATATTAAGCACCTTTCAAAAGTGGGGGTGCATTAAAAATCTATATAAAGGCCAATGTGGGCGCAAAAAAACCTTCACCCATGAAGAATTATCCCTATTAAAACGCATCGTTAAAGAGAAAGTGGATGCATATCTTGATGAGCTCGCAATTGAGATGGAAAACTATACACAAAAGCGAGTTTCTGTATCGACCATATGGAAATCATTGAAATACTGTGGTATCTCTCGCAAAAAGGTAACTAAAAAAAATGTCATCTGCGATGCTATATTTTTTAAATTTTTAACATTATTTTTTTAATTAGCTACAAAAAATAGCCTCTGAGAGAAATGAGCTTTTGTGGAGTGCTTACCTGGCTAACATTGGGGTTAATTATCGTCCGGACCAGCTGATCTTTATAGACGAATCTGGAAAGGACAAACGCAGTTTGAGCCAACATTATGGATATGCACCCGTTAATACTCGAGCACGAAAAAAGATTCCTTTCGTTCGTGGCAAAAAATATACAATTTTACTCACTCTTTCGCTAGATGGTTTTTTGGCTGTTGATGTTATGGAAGGTAGTTGTGATAAAGAGCGGTTTTTTGAATTCATTTTATCCCAAGTGGTAAGTTAAATTTTATTACTATTTAAACATTAATTATTATTATTATATATATATATAATTAGATTCCTACGATGAATCTTTTTCCAGAAAAGAATAGCGTTATTGTTCTTGATAACGCAAGGATTTATCAAAATAAAATGTTTGTTAGAATAGTGGAAGAACTTGGGTGTCGTGTAATTTTTTTGCCATTGCCACCCTATTCTCCAGATTATAATCCTATAGAAACAGCATTCAGTACTATTAAATGCTGAATTCAGAGGAATGGGGACTTTATAAATGCCATGGATGATCCATTTTATGCGCTCATGGTCGCATGCGCACAGATCACATCTGAAATGGCAGTAAACTTTTTTCGTGGATCGGGTTATTTAGAATAAGTTTTCTAAATATATACAGTATATACTTAATGTGGGTGCGCAATGATGATCGATCTAGTAACGATCGTGGCCTAGATAAATAAAGAAAAAATATATACTGAAATATATATTAGTAATCGATAAGTAAGAATAATACAAACAATTAGAAAAATAATAATAAAATTCTTGCTTTTTGTTTGCATCCTTTTTTTTTGCAACTTATTCCTTTTATACCCGTATTTTTCTATTATTAAATTTATTATATTATTAAAATAACGACTTATTGACCCACTTTAAAAAAAAAAATCACCGTTTTTGATCATTAGGGCACAAAGAGAAGAAACTATTAAAATACCATGATGACCAAAAGTATATAAATTTAAAATAATCATGTTATTTATAATGCATTACAACTTCTACATGTTCAACTATCACAAGCTCGTGCTTATTGCCTTATTCTTTTTTGACTTTGGAATATTTTAAGATATATGAAGCGAATAAAGACAATTTTTGACTGCTCGTCCAAATAGTATTCGTACCATTGTTATAATAAGTGCATTTTTAATTTTTAGCGCGATACGTAATGTAATTGTAACAAGCCGTTTTATAATATATCAGTAAATAAGATATTAATCATTATGTCATTCTTATACAATATTCCTATTAAGCTTCGATATACTTTTAATTATTACGTATCCCATATGATCGTTAAACCTGACTTTTTTTTAAGGTGGGTCAATAAAATAATGCTTTTGCCTTACTATCTAAAAAAAAAAAACTAAAAAACTACCTAATAATAAAAAAAAAAACTATAAAACTATCTAATGATAGAAAAAAAACTCCCGCTCAAAAAAAACTTGATATTCTAGGCTTCCAAACCAACGATAAGTGTACCACCTTTATCTATCAATATTTTCTTCCCGCCTGTTTTATATTTTTTCGCCACCCAATTTTGGTAACTCCTAGTTCTATTAATTCGGAATCATCTAAATCCTTAATAGTATTTACGGTTATTCCCTTTTCTTCAAATATTGATATAAAATCTAAATATGCCCCGTTACCATTATAATTTTATCCAAGTCTTCAAAAAAATTTTGAAGACTTGGAATTGAACCTGAACTTAATGTAACTACAGGTGGTGATTGTGATACTTGGGTATTATCTTTAATGGCATTGGCTATACCAAAAGCCAGGTACGTAGGTGGCGTTTCAATAGTGGCGACATTATTTTTCTACGAATAATATAGTATATATATACGTACGTATGTATATCAATGCAGTACGACCAAAAAAAAAGGATACATAAATAACACTTACTATGTCTCTTGCCCACAACTGTAGGCGTGAAGGTATTAATGGAATATGTTTACCATCTTTGATATAGCAGGACGTAGTATGGATTTGGCAGTTATATTTTGTTCTAATTTGTGTAATAATAGTAGCTATATCGATCTCATTAGCAGTAAGTTTGGATGCTTTTGGTACAAGATCCGTTTTTGATTTTTTAGTTTTTAATTTCGGTGCTTCTTCATCCGAGTTATCGGATTCTTTATTCTATAAATGTATATCAGGTATACTGTTAACTACAACTTAATATATGATAATATACGTATAATATAAAATCAAATAACGTACCTTATTTTTTATTTTTTTTATTTTTATTACCATTAGGTAACTTTAGCGCAATGTTTGATACCATAGATTTGTTGCTTGACTTTACTAACTTTTGGCATTCAATAATAAATGCATCATAGTCATCAGTGTCATCTAAAGCCATCGCTTGTCCACGGGCATTGATTTTGTAAGAAACTTGAAGGTTATCTTTATTGAAATTATCATCATTGATACGCATTTGAATATGCTTAATTAGATTAACTTGAAAGGTGCTGAAATTAACTGATTCGAATATGAACCATTTTGCTGGTATTGGGTTGGATTTATCAACTTCAATTATAACCTTGGCCTTGAATTTTATGAAATCTTCCTCTGATGAAACTGAGTCTGTTGAGTCGTCATAATCATCATCGCTAATACTCATAGCTGAAGAAACTTCGGTATCTTTAACCTTTTTTTTATCGTAATCTATAGTAGCTGGAGAAAAGTCGGTGTCTTTAAAACTTTTTTTAGCACGATTATATTGCGAATGGCAAGTTGAACAAAAACTAAAATTAAATGGCTGACAAAAATCACAATTATATGCAAAGATACTATTATATTTTTCAAGAAATAGTTTTTGATTTAATTTAATAGCATTAGGATCGTAAAGTCTACTATAAACTTGTCTAGATTGAGTATTACTGTGAATTGGTTTTTGCCTAACATCACATTCATATAACTCTTGAGTTTGTCATCGATCAGTAAAGCAAAATAGATACTTTTGACATACGAAACAAATTCCAATTGTATAAAGAGACATTTTTTTTTTTTTTTTTTTTTACACATTGGCAATTTATGACCATTAAATATTTATTAAAGTACATATTTATCTAAATATTATCGCTACATAAAAAAAAAAAGAACTTCATAAATTAGTATTAGCGATATTCAATGATGTACTAGACGGAACCATATAACAAAAGGAACAAAAATTTGCTACCATTACTGGATGGAACTGTATAACTGGACAGAGCCATATAACAAAAAAAAAGACCAACAGAGCAAAACTAAAACAACAGTTAACAGTGGCTATTTACTGTACCACTACTCATTGTATGCATGCTTGTACAGATTAACTAACAGTGGCCTCTTTCAGCGGTTTAGACTTTTTTCAGCAGTAATATCGTTATTTTTTTTAACTAAATTCTGCATTACTATATTAGGATAACTATAGATATACCAATGAAAAAGTCTGAACCGCTAAAAGAGGCCAGTTGATGAATCAACTTTCAGATAATACAAAGGTATTTTGTATATAACGTGAAGAAATCTGAAATAGCTTATATCCGAAGTAACAACTTTTAGGATGTCTCAATTGGTCGAAAATAAATTTTAAATAGTCGGACATCAAAAAAACTGGTCAACCGAGTTGCCATTTTTTTTTTTCATAGAGTTAACGCTGATGGCTAAAACTTCTTATTAAGAGTATAAAAAGAGGTTTGTTCAAGCACTTTGCTTTACGTCATGGATCTTTAGCAAAATTATAATCGGCAAAAAATTATTTTGTTGCTTTCATATTCGAATCACTTATTGCTAATCCAGAAAAAGAACAAAACTTGTAACAATTGTTATCTCCTAACTTTCGCGTCAAAAAAATAATTATATTTATTTATTTATTTTTTATTAAAAATTTTTTTAATATTCAAATGCTTCTCGATAGTCACCTTTTTTTTTGCTACTATTTTGCTGAAGATATAACAATAATAGAGTAAAACAAGGATGGTCTGCTCAAGCAACGATTGCAATCATTATTTTGATTAATAATAATAATTGAGCATCATCTCAAAAATCGCATTGAGGGAGTTGCTTGCATCTGAAATTAGACTAAATGCATTAGAAATTTGAGTGCTATTTTAAATATCCAAAGATATTCAAAGTACAAATTATGAGACAACTTTCTGATGACCAGATCGATGAGTTACAGAACTGTACCAATAAGTCACTGATGTTGGCAAAGTCAGAAAATTATCGAATTTGATTAGCGAATAATAAATATATTCAAATATTCGATTTTGTGAAATCTTATAGTAAAACAAAGCAAGAAAATTTAAGGGTTGAAAATAACATTTGATTTCAATTCTTGTTTACTTGCTTTGACGATCTAAAAACTGCAAAATAAAATCGTTAATAATGTTTCATTAAACTTGAAAGTTTAAGAATTTAAAATCAACTGTTAACATA